TTCGTTCGCATCTCTGATTATTCATGTACTTTCTTCAACGCAGAATAACGCGCGAAGAAAAAGACTTTATCGTACTCGTCTTCTCTTAGTGTATGAGTCCGTGCAAACACGTATACGGTGATAAGACAGTTGCAACCATAGACATAGACATAGTAAGAATAGACCGAGCATGTCCTCTAATAAGCAGTGAAGATCAGATAGAAAAAGACGGACAATAAGTGCTAGCTTTCTCTTTCTAATGAGGAAAAAGTGGGTAGAAAGAGGGGTAAGAAAAAGTGAGCAGACAGCTGAATATTCGATTGTTCACGTACCACTAATTTTCTCATTGCTATATAACTTTTTCTGGTGTGTGAACGATCGAATATTCAGCTGTCTATTCACACTTTCTTACCCCTTTTTCTCCCCACTCTTTCCTTATTAAAGAGAGAAAGCTATACGGCACCTATTATCCGTTTCTTTCAATCTGATCTTCAGTTCTCGCGCTTCATGCTCGGTCTATTCTTATTATGTCTATGGTTGCAACAGTTTTTCTTACATACTTGAGAACATATAAAAAATACGATGAAGCGAACCTATGATTCATGAACATGCACAAAAGATGATCAGTCAATTGTCAAAATTAAATATGTATATATCAATACATACATATATCATTACATGTGTATATGTAATTTTGACAGCTATCTATCTATCTGTCGTATTTTTTGTGTGTTCTGAAACATGTAAAAGGAAAACTATTACAATCGTCCTGTGACCGATTATATTTTGTTCGCATTTCTTTTGTGTTTTGTAACGAGGTGCCAAGGGCCCTCGTTACCCGGCCGAAACCACCGAAGGACGCGCAACATCGCACATCAACTACTCGCCGAACACTCAGGCGAGTAGTGTTGCCGAGGCACCGCTAGGCGGCGTACCCGCAGCTCCGTTTTCGCGAGAACGAGAATGCTACAATAGTGATGCCATAGAAACGCCGCTAGGCGTGCGCCCACACGTTCGCCAGTGAGATTACGGCACGCGGGCTATAAATAAACCGCGCGCTAGGAAGGCACCCGTTCTCTGGCGAAAAACTCGCAAAAATAAGCCATACGGAGAGCACTGGGCAGGCGACCGGAGACGGAAGCCAGCTCCACCGACGAGGTTGGTACAACCGATATCGGTGCTCACCTCCACCATTTCTGCAAGGGAGACGACCGACCGGTATCGTTAGTCTTCCTCACCACCGAGGTTGGTGCAACTGTTATCAGTGCTCATTTCCACCATACATCCGTCGTTCTAACGGCGAATCTCTCGCGGTCGTAGAGACCCCACTACCTCTACTAAAGTAGCGGACACTTCTCCGCTATCAGGAGGCACCAGGGCAGCTCCCTTCCGGGCCAATCAGCACGGTTATAAAAGCCAGCACCAGATGCTCGGGACAGAGAGTCTCCGATCGACCAGCTCTGGAGCCAGCTAGTAGGATCAACGAGGGCCAACGGAGGACCTGATCAGCCAGACCACTCTACGGAGTACGACACCCGGATACCCTCCAGCGCACAGCAGCGTTGGCGACCCGTTCACGCACCGACCTGCCTTCAGGACCGAACCGACGTCGACGGATATCGCGGCCGCACGAGTTCAGACGCCCCTATAGTTCCAGAGACCGCTATCTCCGACCTGACGCTTCCCCCGTTCCCATTGTACATAGCTTTACCGAACGTCAGGGTGTACATATTGTAAATAGTAGTAGAAATATAAGGACGTCCAAAACACGCCAACACTAATGCTTTCTCTTACTCTCCTTTCCACCCAGAACCGATGCTTGGCCACCGGCGAGCCACATCCTGGCAACGCGGGGTCACCCCGTTATAGTTTCAGAAATGGCACCTTCAAGAACGTTCGGTAATGCTCGTCTTTGAAACGGTAAAATTAGAACCGTACGAAACGGCTGACTCAGAAACGATTGATTCAGAATGTCCCGCTTATGAGACGTCTGCTTCAGGAATGCCAAATTTAGAACTGTTTGCTTCAGAAATGTCTGATTTAGAAACGACCGACTTAGAAACAGTCGATTCAAGAAAGTCCGCTTCTGGAACGCGCGCTCCTGAAACACACTTTCGAGTCGGGAAGTACCAGACACGCCTTAAGAAAAATCTGTTGAAGGCCCTTGATCTGGTCATCACTCACGGGATGAGCTTGAAGAAAGTTGCATAGATATACTCTATCTTAAAGAAAGTTGCACAGATATACGCAGATCAACTCTACATAATTACAACAAAAAGCTCATTCCTAATTATATGCAAAATACGCAGGTAGGCAATATGCAGTGTACGCGATTGTTTATTGAACGATATGAGACGACTTTTTAGTTTCATGATAAGGAGGGAGATTATTTTCTCGAATAAATAAGATCTGTTTTGATCGAACACACAATTTTGTACTTATTTTGTCACCCGAAAAACTGTGTATTAAAATTATATTGTTAATCGAATTGTCATTGTGATTTTGATTATAGGCGCCATTAGCAATCCTGCAAGCCCCTTTATAAATTTGACAAGCAAACTTAACGAACTGGATTGGGGGAAAATATAAATGCCAGAATTGCGGGAACTTGTATCAGTTGAAGCAATAGCTTGTACTGCGTATGAAAGTTTTTTATATTCTGAAATATTGTGCATATTGCAGTTACTAAACATATCGTAAGAGGAATCTAAAGTTGTACATGAAGAAGTAACGCTCGGTTGAATGACGACTGACTTCGTGATGATGTTTATATATAAAATATATTCACCATTATCCTATCCAAGGGCGGATTTGAAACTAACGATGCCGAAACATCAATTTATTTAAATTCTTACCGACTCGTTGTTTTGAATTAGAATTTGTTTTCGGAAATATATCGTTTTCGGAAATATTCGTTTTCGGAAATATATTTCTATATGTATAAACTTTCCAATCGGGAAAGAGCCCTATTTTATAGTATTTTATGAACTTTAATATCTATAAATTTAAAATATAAAAATTGAGTTGTAGAACTATGACATGTAAGAATTTTTAGAAACAAACTTTTTCCATTTATATAGTTATGTATGTTCAAATCTTATTGTAAGTAATTATAATAAGGAACCTCTGAAATATTATTATAGCATAATAACATCAGACTCTCTGAAAGGCTTCATTTGCTCCTGACATTATTTGAATACATTATTTTATATACATAGAAATGTAAGAAATAATAATTAATATATATATATATATATATATAGGATATATTATCTCAACAATAATTATTTTGATATCCGTTATGTACTGATAGAACGGATTGAACAGGTGAATCATATATCATTATTTCAAAAATCG